TAGTTCCAGATTTTTTTTTTAATTTTTTTTTTTTTATTGTTGGTCGTTCAAAACATTACACAGTTCTTAATACATCATCTTTCACAGTTTGATTCAAGTGGGTTATGAACTCCCAACTTTACCCCGTATACAGATTGCTGTATCACATCAGTTACCCTTCCATTGATTGACATATTGCTTTTCTAGTGTCTGATGTATTCTGCTGTCAGTCCTATTCTCTACTATCCCCCCTCCCCTCCCCTTTTCTCTCTCTACCCCTTCTACTGTAAATCATTTCTTCCATTTGTATTATCTTGTCTTACCCCTCCTTTCCTCTTATATATCATTCTCACTCCCTTTCCCTCCCACCTCTCATCCCTGTTTAATGTAAATCTTCTTCTCAAGCTCTTCGTCCCTACCCTGTCCTTGTTTACTCCCCTTATATCAAAGGGGTCATTTGGTATTTGTTTTTTAACGATTGACTAGCTTCACTTAGCATAATCTGCTCTAATGCCATCCATTTCCCTCCAAATTCTATGATTTTGTCGTTTCTTAATGCAGAGTAATACTCCATTGTGTATAAATGCCACATTTTTTTTATCCATTCATCTATTGAAGGGCATCTAGGTTGGTTCCACAATCTTGCTATCGTGAATTGTGCTGCTATGAACATCGATGCAGCAGTGTCCCTGTAGCATGCTCTTTTTAAGTCTTTATGTAGTTCCAGATTTATACCTGGACTTCAGATAACTTGTAGGTTAAATAAGCTGTTCAGAGTCAGCCAGTTGGCTAATTAGTGACTAAAGTCTATTTTGATATCCTCAGCCTAGTGTTGTCATCAGCACTTTCACGTGGTTTCCCTCATCTGTCAATTAAAGTAATTTTCCTTTTTTTAAAACTAGATTCACAAAGTCTTAATCGTTTTAATTGGCAAGTAAAAGAGCCACTTAGAAATAGAAACTAAAATTTTCTAAGACCTCCTGTATATCAGCCACCATCCTGGGTTCTTTGCATATATTATGTGTTTTGATATACCAGACTACCTTATGAGTATAGATGCCTTTATTATTCCTTTGTATGTGTGGTACAGGGGTACTTTACCACTGAACCACATCCCCAGCCCTTTTGTATATTTTATTTAGAGACAGGGTCTTCTTGAATTGCTTAGGGCTTCGCAATGTTGCTGTGGCTGGCTTTGAACTTGCAATCCTCTTGCTTCAGCCTTCCCAGGACTAGGATTATAGGCATGTGCCACCATGTCCAGCATATTTATAGTTCTCAAATAACCTTATTTAAAGCCTTGTGAGTTACATATTTTGAGATGGTATTAGGGTCTTTCTCAGTATTGGTGAAGGTGAGAGTTTATGCACTGATGATTATAGTGTATAGTCCTTTACTTTTAGAAAACAGGTGTGATTAGTGAAGATTCAGAGATAATAAATATTTAAAACTAGATTATCTATGGAATTTTTAAAATTATAAATGGACCTTTATTTTATTTATTTATATGTGGTGATGAGAATCAAACCCAGTGCCTCACACATGCTACGGAAGCGCTCTGCCACTGAGCCAAAACCCCGGCCCCTTATCTACAGAATTTTGATCCACTTACTGCTGTATAGCTAATACTCATGTAATCCTATTTTTAAAGAATTTCTAGAATAGAATTATTGCCATCACATTACTGAGGAGATGGAACATATTTACACTAATATTTCAATCTCTTCATATATACAGAAATAAAACCAGTATCTAAGAATTTATAAGGCTGAATTGGGGACTTCCTAATTTCAAATGAGAAGTCAGAAAAACTTAAATTGAAGAATTAAACTTGGTTAGAATATTTTAATCTTAATTTTTAAAGATAAAAATAATTTAAAAATATATGACTTGGGGGTAAGGCTAATATACAGTATATGCAGACATTTGTTTGTATGTACTAGGAATTGAACCCAGGAGTGCTCTACCACTGAGCCACATCCTCAGTCCTTTATGTATTTTATTGAGACAGTGTCTCATTTAGTTACTGAGGCTGCCTCAAACTTGTGATCCTCCTTAGCCTTCCAAGTCACTGGAATTACAGATGTGCCACTATGTCTGGCTAGGATTTTGGGGGGAGTGGATTTTTAGAGATTATATGAATCACTAATGCATACTAAGCACTTAGGACAACAGTGCCTAAAAAAATAGATCACTAAATGTTAATTATGACCAATAAGAAAAACTGTAAAATTCATCCACCACTTAGAATATATTTGAGAAACTTGAAATTTAAAATTCCATTGAGCAATTAAAATAGATGTCATGAAATCTATGCAATTATTCATAGACCCTTCGGGCAAGTCTCCTGCTTTATAAACAGATCTAATGTACCGGAGTTTCTGGTTTATAAGCATTGAATAAGCTAATAAAGACAACTGGAGTGGTTGTATCAGGCTTATTAAGAGCAGCAATAAATAGCTCAAAGCATTATGAAGAAAGCAAAAACAATTCCCATTAAACTTCAAATAGTAAACATTTTGAATATGAAGATAGTGCAGTAATTTTCATGAAATTACAATCTTGTGTCCACCCAAATTTTGGCTATTAATCCAAGTACTAGCTAATTAAGGAAAAAGTAAATATTGGAAAGCTATGTTCTAGCTTACAAAATAGACAAGAAAGCTAAAATAATTAAGGTTCATAAAGGTTAGGGCCTAGGAGTGGTTACATAAGATGTTTTAATTCCCCTGCTGCTATCAGACTAATTTCTTTATTGTCTCTATGTCTTTGAGTCAGTACACTCAAGATTAAAAGTTCTGGATGGCACTATGTCCCTTAGTTGCAAGGGACAGATGGAGTATCTGGCCACTTTAAGCTTTTAAACAAATGACACTGCCCTGTCCAGATTCTCACAGTGGTAGATTACCCCAAACCAGGAAGATGCTTAGATGCTGGCTTGTAAAAACATGTACAGCTGCTTACAGACAGCAACCTCAAATCCTTAAACACACACACATACACAGCAAATTCTGGTTATGTTCTATTGCATGAGTGCGAATAAGCAGACCATTGCATTTAATCAAGTTGTGGTTAAGTCAGGTATGTGCAAGCATGTTTGTGATGATTGCCCAAGTAATTTACGTTGCTTAAGTAGAAGACAGTACTTGAGAGGGATAAGAAATGTGAAAAGTTATCAGTGGGCAGAAGTTCCCTATGGTAGTCAGGGGATCACTAGAGACAGGGTACTAGGGTGAGTGAGCTGGAAAGGAGTTACAGGGGGAAAGTGGGGTGTTTGAGATCATAAATTTTAAGCCTGAAGCTATATATAAGCTGAGCAGAGTAAAAGACAAGATTATTAAAGGGGAGGGAACCAACAAATGGGGTTTGCCCCCAAAGACATGGAAAGGATCCTGTCTGTGGTATTAGTTGCCAAAAAATAACTGGAGTAGTGTTATGGAAAAGATGACAGGAACTCAGACCTTTGGAACAAGGGAGACTTAAGGGAACTATATAATGCTTAACTGTGACAAGTACCCAGGTAGTTGATGACCTGTTTTTAAGGGAAGAAGTAGAGGAGAATGAATGGGAAGTAGCAATAAGGACAAGGAACACCTCTAGGCCCAATGGTGTGAGAGTGTGGGAAAGTAGCCACCATTTGAGAAGATTGCAGAAGAAGCAGGGTTATCAGAAGTCACAAATTCAATCTGATGTGAAGTTCAGAGGGCTATTTTCACAATTAGTACTCATTTTTCTTAAACTATAGTCTTCATGTAAGCAACATGAATAAAAAGAACTATTTCTGTAAGAAAAATAGCCATGAAACAGTGACACAGCTTCATGTTTGGAAGACAAGGGGCTGTTAAAAGGAAAAAAACATTATTTAGTAGTGTTGCCCTGGCAGAATTCAGGCCTAGTATTGTAAGATCATCTAAATTTTGCAAAACAAGCTGGAACTATGGATTTTTATGTGAAAAAGACTTAAAATATTGACTCTATTTTAAATATTTTGCAGGCCCAGTAAAACAAATCAGTGACACCTTTACCTATGCAGTCACATTTTGGTGACCTCTGCTTTTTGAAGTATTACTATGGGATATATTTTTCTAAGTTAAAGAGACGAACTAATCTTCAAACCAGCTGCCTGTTAGGTAGACAAGCTGCCACCATTCAGTCTACAACTATAGGCTGAGCTCAGCACTTAAATTACCTGGCAATTTATCATGTACTTGTTAATTGATTATTTCTCAGATCATATCTCACCATATTTTTTTTAACTTTGAATTCTAACTGAATTGCCTTTGAAGAGAAACACTAATCTTTTATGATCTGAACGTTTAATGAAAATTCAATCTCAGACAATAAGACTTCCAATAGAGAAAAGTTGAAGGTTCTTTAAACCTCAAAAATACTAATTGATTCCTGCATTTAATGATTCTTCAAAACGCTCAATTTTCCTTGTGTCACAAGGATGGCAGATGTCAGAGCATTGTTTTTGGATTGAAGTAAAAGTGTAAAGATAGTATTTGGCTCTATGTGACCTTGGACAGAGTGGTAAACTATAAACCCATCTAAGTTTAGTTTCCTTATCTGTACAATAAAGATTAAAAATACATGTACCTATTTCACCTGGTAGGTGTAAGGTACATTCCAAGGTGGATAGCTTTAATCGCACCTTCCTGTGAGTTTTTAATTCTATAATACAACTTGCCTGAAGTTAGTGAGATCATCTACTTAGAGAACATATTTTAGATATTAGAATATATTTAAAATTTAGGAAACCCCTTGAGAATGAATGGATATATAATCTTCCAAAAGCAATTTTCCTATTGGAAGATGATACCATTGATGGTATCACTGTGTGAGGTAGTCACTGGAAAGTATCTTCTCTCCAGTCCTGTAAGCTAGACTGTTTATTCTTTGGTTAAGAACCCTGTTCATTCGAGCAACAACTGATACAATTTCTTTCATCCTACTATCACCTTCTCTCCACTTCTCAACTTTGTACTCATTTGATCTTCTTCTAAGTTAATAATTATCACTTGAGATTTATGTGAGGTTTAATGAATGAGTCTTTTCTAGCAGCATTTAATACATCACTCAAAAGAACAAGTCTTAACTGAGAAATACAGGATACCTCGTTTTCACAGTAATTTTTTTTTTTTAAGTCCCAGTGATGAAAACTTAAGACAGCTTCCTCAAAGGAAGTTAAAACATTGACAAATCCAGTGTACCAGTGTTTAGCACATCCAGCTTGACTGTCTTTTAACTTAGTCTGAGTCTTTTGGAATAGTTATTCCTTTTTTGTATTGTTGTTATGCAGCCATGGAAGGAAAAAGCTGAACATTAAAATCATCAACAATATACCTGAAAGACAAAATAAGGTAAAATAAAAACAAAACAATCTTAAAGGAATATCAGTCCCTAATTGAGTATACATTTAAACTAATATTCTCATATTTTTCTTCAACCACAAATACTTAAAAACAGTATGTACTTGATAAAACCAGTAGGATCTAAATAGTGAATTCAAAGGATAAACAAAACCCAAACATTAATAGTTTTAGTTCTGGCTCCCTTACTGACTTGCTGGAAAAGTCTGGACTTGGCTCCTCAGCTGCACCTCTAAAATGGCAACAGTCCTTCATGCCCCAGGGTTGTACCCAGGGAATAAAGCAACTGAAAGTACGCCAGGTTCTCACCTGGAATGCTCAAATAAGAACAGTATATCATATTTACTTTCTCGCTTCTTTTTTCCCTCATCAGTCTTATATACTAATAGCTTTTAGAGATTTATCAAGTAAAATACTTAAGCAAAATTTCAGTCAATGCCTAATTTTTAAATATAATTTTTTTTTAAGTTTGCTTATTTGTTTTTGCGGTGCTGGGGATCAAATTTAGGATACTGTGCATGCTAGACAAGCACTTTACCACTGAGCTACCCCCTAGTCCTAAAAGTCTTTTGAGGTTACACTAGATAAATCTAGCACATAGTCTTTGCTTCAATGTGAAACAGGGAGGAGAGGGACCCAATTGAGTATACAAAATTCAAATTGCTATCTTAAAAGGGAATTCTTCAGTTTTTAAAAATCCTACTATATTTAGACTTTAAACTGTAGATAGCTTATAATTAGATTAAAAATTAGTTTTGTCACAGGCAAATTTGAAATTATCTTATTCTTGTTTGGCAATAAAAAAAAAACCTTAAGACTTGGCTAGTATTTCGATATCTTAACATATTTTTAAAAGATGAGTCTGCAACCAAAGTCTTCAAATGAAAAGGAATCAGATATGATCCATATGTTAATTGATACACATTTTGTCAATTCTTTATAGAGTCAAAGCTAAAAAATAAGACATGACATTTAAAATGTTTTCCAAAAATGGAACTGCAGTTTCATAGAAGCACATAGAACTGGCCAATTTTTATTGTATGAAATGTAAAAACTAGAAAATAGTCCTGTATACATTCTTTTATATATATATATTTTTTAGTTGCTGAGAGATCTTTATTTTATTTATTCATACACGGTGCTGAGAGTCGAACCCAATGCCTCACACATGCCAGGCAAGTGCACTGCCGCTGAACCACAGCCTCAGCCCCTTGTATACATTCTTAGTCACGTTTCTAATATTTTTCATTTGGGAAGATGATGGAGGCCATTAGAGAAATTATAATATCTCTGCTGTGATGAGAATCAAGAAAGACATTTAAACTGTGGCTCCCAAGAATAGTTTGCTCCCTGTGAGTCAAGAAGGGGCTGGGGCTGTAGTTCAGTGGTAGAGCACTTGCCTAGCACATGTGAGGCACTGGGTTTGCTCCTTAGCACCACATAAAAAAAAAAAAAAAAGTAAAATAAAGGTACTGTGTCCATCTACAAATAAAAATATTTTTTTAAAAAAAGGAAAAGAAATTGGGCATGGTGGCACTTGCCTGTAATCCTAGTAACTTGAGGCTGAAGTAAGAGGATCACAGGTTTGAGGCCAGCCTCAGCGACTTAGTGAGAACCTATCTCAAAGTAAAATATAAAAAAGGTTGAGATGTGGCTCAGTGGTAAGAGTGCCTCTAGGTTCAATCACTAATAACAAATTTTTTTTTTAAAGGGGTTGAGGAGCTGGGATTGTAGCTCAGTGGTAGAGCACTTGCCTAGCAAGTGTGAGGCACTGGGTTTGGTCCCCAGCACCACATAAAAACTAAATAAACAAAATAAAGGTATTGTCCATTTACAACTAAAAATATTTTTTAAAAAAGGAAAGAAGAAGATAGACACCTTATTTTTCATCTGGATCCATTTATTTCCAGTGAGTATACAACTTTAATATATGACAAAATTCAATGGCAAGCTTGAATTTAGTATTCTAAAATATTTTAGAATTTTTCTAAATGTGTATATTTATTTACATATGTATTCTACCCACATTCATTGAAGGATATCTTGTTTTTCATTCATAAACCTCAGTATAGAAACATGAGTTTCTAAACCAAAAACTCCAACAGAAATTTTATGTTGGGTCTAAGAGAAAAGCTAGGGTTCTTTTTTAGGACAGCTTAGGAAGAATCTTTATTTTCAACAGTCTAAATAGGGCCATACATAATTACAGAAAATTTGATTCTGATTAGAAGAGATTCCTTGTGAACATTTATATATTTTTTAATTTGGTGTTTCAATAGTTTTGAAGTAAGTGTGTCTTTAAAATGTTTTGATAAGAGCCACAAAAAAATGTGTTATCTTCCTATTTGGACTATACAAACTTGAGAATGTAGTCCCTTTCTTCACTCTCCCACTCTGGTCTGCAAAAGGTGGCGAATTACTTTTCCTTTCTTTTCTATCATGAGAGTTTTTCCTATTATATGCTCTTCTGGGAAGAAGTCATTAAGTGCTTTGAGTTGGGGCTGGTGTTGTGGCTCAGAAGTAGAGTGCTTGCCTTGCACGTGTGAGATACTGGGTTCGATCTTCAGCACCACATAAAAACAAAAATAAAGATATTGTGTCCTCTATAATGAAAATGATTTTTTAAAAGTGCTTTGAGTTGGAAAGCCTGTTTTAAGGGAAAAAAATCAAGGTCCCTTTGCAGAGAACATTATTACTTCAGATTTTTTTCTTTTAAAATTCTTCTGGAAAGACCTTTTAAATGTTATTTCAAGTAGTATATGAAATAATATTTTGCATCATGGGCCTACAGTAAAAGTAGTTGGAGCACACTAACAAATATGTTAAATTGATATATTAAAGAATATATGTTGGTTTCAAATAAAACATTGGGGGAATTTTTTCATATAAAAACTATCACCAGCCAGGCATGGTGGCACATACCTGTTTAAACTTTTTTTTTTTTTTTGGTGGGGGGCAGGGAGTGCTAGGGCTTGAACCCTGGGGCATTCTACCACTGAGATACAATCCCAGCCTGGAAAACACCCCTTCTTTATTTTTTATTTTGAGACAGGGCTTGCTAAATTGCCCAGGTTTTCATCAAACTTGCAATCCTCCTACCTCCACCTCCTCTATAACTGGAATTATAGGCATATGCCCCTGCCTATAAGAAGTTATTGGAAAACACTACAAACACAATTTATAAAATGAGGGGGGAAACAAAACTATCACTAGCCTTTTTAAATGCAGATTTTTCTCTGATATTTAAGTTTGTACCTATAGATATTACTAAGCATGGTAGATAGCAAATGTGAAATAAAGGAATGGGAAGTGAACGAGAGGAATAAAAACATGAGGCTATTCAAACGTATGTGTGGAGACAATGTTCCCTTCTACATGTGCCTTTTTTTTTTTTTTTAGAAATAAAACAGAAAATCAGCAATAAGAAACAAAAAATGCTAACTGAACAAAAAGTGAATTAATGGAGGGCTTGACATCCTCTTATTCATTATAAGAAATGCATATTATGAGTAGAGTAATTGTATGGTATTTTTGTGTTCTTTGATTCCTCTTTATAGAAGACTTTTGTATATCTGAACCCCAAAGAAATAACAAGAATGGAACTTGTGATTTTTTTTTTTATACCAGTGTTTAAAACCAGAGGTGCTTGACCACTGAGCTATATCTCCATATCCCCAGCCCTTTTTATTTTTTTATTTTGAGACATGGTCTCTCTAAGTTGCTTCAGGCCTTGCTAAATTGCTGAGGCTGGTCTCAAAATTTCAGTCTTCCAGCCTCAGCCTCCCGAGCCACTGGGACTACAGGTATGTACCACTGCACCTAGCTGAATTTGTGAATAATTTTAAAACCATACTTACTATAGTTATTCATTGTTTCATGAGATGCCCTTCTGCAAAATGAGTTAAATGACATTTATCTCAAACATTTTAACTTCCTTTTTCCTTTTCCTTTTTGTGCCTATTCTGACTTTGGAAATTGACATGTAACAGCAGCATTTCATATCGTATTTTAAAATATCCTAATCTTTCAGACATATTAAAGATATGCTTACCTACAGAAGGAGCCAGCCAATACACTATAAAAAATTGAGGGAAAGCTTCATCAAAACACATGAAATGAAGTGAAAGTGCCAATGCTGGATTAAATACAGCTCCTGTTATACTTCCTCCTGTAATACATTTTAAGCAAAGAGATTCCAAACAATGTATCTTACATTTTCTTGAATCTAGAAAGAAATAGGTTATTAAATGTAACTATTTTACTTTAGATATTTAAGTAGACTTACTCTATGATTCTCCTTTGCAGAATCAAGTGGCATATTATAAAGTGTAATAGATTATGGATTATAATATGCCAAGTAAAAAAAAAAAAAAGACAAAGGACATCAAGAGTTTAAACCTGGTGCTCTGCCTTTACTATAAAATGAACACTGAAAGCTCTATTATTATAAGTTCCTATAGTTTTTATGAGATAGGAGATTTGGCCATTCTTCCCATTTATCAGTTTCAATGCGTGAAAAATAATAAAGTGAAAATACAATTAAAAAATGGATATACTATCCCAGGGTCCTCTTGGGCATAAGCATACCTTTTGTATTGAAAACAAAAAGTAAAAATAGACCAAAATATCATCTCTTCCATTTTTTCTTGTCAGAAGAGTCCTTAAGAAGTCACCGTGAATGGTACATCTCAATAAAATGGTTATACAAATGTAAGAGCATCCCTAAGACTGGCACTGCTGGTAGTTCTTACAGATGAAGGCTTAGATGCACACATCTGCCTCTTCACTCAGCCACAGAGATCCTGAGACTTTTACATGTTTTATGTTGACATATACTACTAGAGCCTGTCTTCATAGCATTCAGAAAAGTAAAATTATTTAAGTTAAGTGACCCTTTCAATTAGTGATTTGGAATTTTTGCAATTCTATTTTTGGGAGTACTCTCCATGTTCATAGTGTTTTTTTCTTTTTTGCAATAAAACTTTGAAAATGGATGTTGAAAAAATAAGGTGATCTTTTCATAAGGTTTCACTAACGAGATATCACTATTGATAGTCTGAGAACATAGAAGCTAGGCTGAGATCAAACTACTAAACACTAGATGAAGCTCACTAGTTGGCTAAGAGTTTTTGTTAGCACACTAGCCTAATGAGTCGGGGTGGGTTTTTGTTTGTTTGTTTGTTTGTTTGTTTTTTGGTTTTTAACCTCAGCAATGATGATACTGACATCACCTCATGGGCCTTCAGAATTATTCTTGAACAGTCACATCCTGGAATGTTAAACCTGCAACTGCCAAGGCTTAACAGAATTATAGCTGATCATTTCAGTTCAATTCTACACTACCACCACCCTGCAAAAAAAAAAAAAAAAAAAAATCCTGTGTACCAGATACCATGGATAGAAAAAAACTCACCATCTTTATAATATAATATGAGTTAACATCAATGATCAGTGACTTCCTAAAGCATAAATAGACTAAGTGAGCCAATGCCCTCATAACTAGTTTACTTCAGAGCTGTAGGTCATGGTATACTGAAGACTTTTTCTTAGGGCTAAGATAAACATGATAATCACACCACCCTAAAAACTTGAACTGTTTCACTTCCTTATCTTCTACCTTACCAGTTCTGTTCAGTGTGACTTGGTAGAAGCTGCTCCTCCCCCTAAGGGGTATTCTATTTCCCCTTCTCTTGAATAGGGACTGGCTTTGCAACTTTGGTTGACAGAATGCAGCAGAATTCTGAATGTGGCAGGGATGGTGCTGTGTGAATTCCAGGTAAGCCCATCGGCCTCTATTTTTTCGCTCTCAGAACAATACCCTGAAGTAAACTGGTCTGGGCCACATGGATGGGAACCAAGGCAACCCAGATGACAGCACCAGCTGCCACACGTGAGGGTCCCTAGGCTTTTCCAGCTCCATCACTGTCCATATGGTGAATGTAGCTGCATGAGTGATGCCATGGGATTTGGCCAACTAATCCAGAGAACTGTGAAAAGTAATAAATTGTTATTTTAAGTTATGGGATTGTTTGTTACATAGCAATAGTTTAAACATACAGAAATCCATATCAGGTATGGATTCTGTGTCAACAAAAGCCCCAAATGTGGCATAGGCTTTGCTGTTTTACTGGATAATTCTTTTGTTGTGAGGGTCTGTCCTGTGTACTGTAAGATGTTTAGTGGCATCCCCAGACCCTACCCAGTAGATGCTAGTAGCACTCTCTTCTCCCCACACTGTATCAACCCAAATGTCCTCTGGGGACAAAATCCTCCCCAGTTGAAAACCTAGAGAAACACTGGTACTTGGTACAAGAAGATATATTCAAGGTTGATTATTTATAATAGCAAAGAACTGGGAACTGGAGAAAACCTAAATATCTATTCACAGAAAAATTGCTAAATAAGCTTATTATTACTTTAGGATATCATAAAGCATTTTGAAATAATGAGAGAAATCTCCCTACTGACATAGATCTCCATTGAACAAACCACCAAAAAAAGTAGACTGAAGAAAGGTATGATACTTTTTATGATAATATGAACACATACATAATAATATACAATGTTTCATAGATTATATCTATAATAAATGCACTTAAAAAGCTTTAGAAGGACATAATACACACAACACAAAGAAGGATTAAATGATGGAAAGAGACGGTAGAAAAGGAGGGACAGACATGGAGGATGGCAGTCAAAAGCACTTCAGTGTTTTAATAGTTTTTTATAAAAAATCAGCAGACACAGAACTATCAGAAAGTGGCTTTAGCAAATAGGTTACTATTCATTGACATTTGTAGGGGAGATGATATAGTTATCACCAAGAGAGAGTTATAACCAAGAGATCCAGCAGAATTTTAGAGGTCACTATAGCTTATGAAATCAACATATCCAAAGGTGAGGTCTCAAATCTGGCAATTGTAGGCACTAATGTTTCTCAATGTTCCTGAGAGGAATCAAATTCTCTGTAACAGAAGGATACTAGTTAAAAATCACATAAAACTCATGTATAAGCCAGAAGGTCACTTATATTGGAAGCCATGGACATAAATTTACTAATTTATAATGGAAGCTAGCCCTTTCCAGTAACCAAAATATTTGTCTTCCTTCTCCAGGGCACTCATTTCCTGGTAAATGCCCCCTGGAAGGCCAAATCTATCACCAGAAGTTATTTGATCAGCTTGTAATCAGAGCAAAGACCATGATAAAACATCATCCAGAACTGAAAATACCTTTTTAATGACAAGACTGCTTTCCCTGAATGTGGTCTCTGCTTCCTGTTATATTGAGCAAATGCTCTAGACACTCCAGTTTTTACTACTGGCTCACAGATATGCTAATTTACAACTTAAACTTGGTAGCTCTTTTAAGACTAGTTATTATAGACATGGAAGAATGATACTGAACTGTTTCAGAGATTGTGGGGAGCACCTGGGGATTTGTATACCAAAAAATTGACTTATTTGCAATTAAGTTAACTTTCAATATAAAAGTTGTAAAGACTACACTTTCCTGAACTTATACCAACAAAAATATTAATTATGCAACAATGATGAACTTAGACTGGAAGCCTGTGACAAATTAGTAGTAAATGCCATGTATTGTGCTAAGAATATAAATAATATTCGTTTTTATTTATTTAATTTTTTTTTGGTACCAGGGATTGCTTACCCACTGAGCCACATCCCCAGCCCTTTTTTTAATATTTTATTTAGAGACAGGTCTCATTGATTTGCGTAGGGCCTCATTAAGTTGCTGAGGCTGACTGAGCTAGCAATCTTCCTGCCTCAGCCTGGGATTATAAGCATGGGCCACCGAGCCCAGACTCATACTCTTGACATATTATTCTTCATTTTAAAGATGAACAAACTGAGACTAAATTAAGTATCTGGCATAAGAACACAGACCAACTCTAAACCTGTATGCTTGACCACTATATTATACTGGGGTCATAAGTTAGTTTTATTTGGAAACTATTTCATATAGTTATTATATTAGAGGGAAAGTACGTAAGGATTTAGTTCCCTTCTCATTTAAAAGACTTAGAAGGATACCAAAAATCCTGCATGGAGTAATGGAGTGAAGTAAAAATACTACAATTTCTTAAAACAATTTATTAGACTTTTATTGGAAGCCATGGACATAAAATATGGAATGCCCAAATATGTATTTTATCTATGTAGTCTTTTTTTTATTGAACAAACTATTTGCTAGTTCACTCATTTACTCTAAAGATTATTTCAACTGTTCACTTTGTACCAGATTATACTATCCTAAGTCCTAGTTCTACAGTATGAAAAATAAAACAAATGTTGTTTCTGTACTTAAACCTTACTTTCTGGTAGATGAGGATAGGTACTATGTCAGAAAACAGTGTAAATAATTTTAAATTCTATAAACAAAAAACAGGTGCAGTAATAAAGACAACTTACATGTGTAAAATAACATTTTTTCAATATCTAATTATGTACAGAAATGAATGCATTTTTTCTCACCCTGTTTATTGAACTAAAAATATAAATTAAGGAAGAATTTCTTGAAATCTGAAATAATAATTTATAATTTTAAGAGCCAAGTGTAGCAGCACACACCTGTCTGAAGTCCCAGCTATCTGGGAGGCTGAAGTAAGAGGATCACTTGAGCCCAGGAGCTTAAGATCAACCTGGACAGCATAATAGCAAGACCCCATTTAAAAA